AGACTTGTGATTAACTGATCTTGTCAACTTGATTGGATTGAGCTACATCCAGGGGATTCATTAGTAAAGGGCACCTCTGGCTGCATCTATGATGGCATTTCTAGAGATGATTAGATCACAAAGACTCTTGCCTAATGGATGGATTAGTCCCTTGATAAATCCATTATTGGGAGGTGATGAAAAGTAGGAGGTGTGTTCTGTTTGGAAGAAGTAGGTTGCCATAGAAGATTCTCAAAGAAAAAGACCTAAAATGTAGAGAAAGTAGTTTCCCTTCCTCTCTTGTTCCTTTGGACAAACTCCTGCCCAATTGAGGATGGGTGGGGCCTTTCAGCAGTCTGAACACTGCACGGCCTCTCCTGAACACTGGGGGGACTCAGCATTCCTTACCTCATGCGTTTAGGAGCTGGAGCATGAGATCAAACCCTGACTGCCTCCCTTACTAGCTGGATGACCTGGGGCCATTCATTCAACCTCTCTGAACTCCATTCCCCCACCTTAAAGTGAGAGTGCTAATGGTACCTTGAAGATTGATCTGTGGTTTTTCAGGACAACGAATGTGAAACTATAGTACGTTAAGCACACACTAAATAGTAAAGCAAAGATAGATCCTAATTTCAGAGAAGGTATGTTGCAGGGACACCTTAGATTTGGTGAAAAGCAGAAGCTTCTATCTTTGGATAACTAAGCAGAAAGCATCAGTGTGTGGGGGAAAGGGTCATTTTTGATCTGGGGTGTGGCCTATGCTACAGTGGATGGCTCCACACCCATGGATAAGTCTCTGGTTATATATACACAAAAAAAGAGCACACAAAGTTGGGAGAAGGACGTTGAGAGGTTGGTGGAGGGGCGGTGGAGTGGTGATGGGGTAGATATGATCAAGATATAGTGTATACACGCATGAAATTGTCAAAGAATAAATAAAAATTAGGAAGGTAACTTGTCGTCCTGACTCATCTTCAATAAATACAGGGTGAAAGGCAAAAAAAAAAAATTAGGAAGGAAGGAAGAAAGGGAGAGAGAGAGAGAGAGAGAGGAGGGAGGAGGGAGGAAGGAAGGAAGGAAAAAAGGAAGGAGGGAGGGAAGGAGGGAGGAAGGAAGGAAGGAAGGAAGGAAGGAAGGAAAACACCCCCCAATATAAACCATTGATAAGGCTCACGTGTGCTGAACACCAGACCTGACAGTGGCCCATGCCATGTCTCGCCACCTGTGGGTATGAGGAACCAGAGTTCTGCCATGGGATGTCCTTGCAATGCTTGTGCTCACCATGAAGTCCTAGAAAATTAGTAATTTGTTAAGGGTGGAAACAGAATTAGGATCTCTTTGAAGTAACTCTAGAATGAAATAATAACCCTTAATAAATAACTTCTGTGCATCTATTAAAGCAAATCACCAGATTATAATTTTCCATTTACCTATTAATCTCCTCCACTAAATCTCTAACTTTCCTGTTAGAAAGTCTCTCACTTTCCTGTTAGCATTGCTGTGTCTCCTGAACCCTATACCCTGTACCATAATAAGAACTATGAAAATTCCAAAACCCAAATCCTTGGTGAATCAACCCAGTTTCCTGTTAAATCTCAAGCTTGTTCATTTCTGTTTCATACATTGCATTTCTTCACTGGCTAGGGGAATGGAAGGGGAAGCCTGGGCAAACAGTAACCTATATCCTTTCAGGACATTGGTCACTCACAGAGGTATTATGAAGGAGGATCTTGTCCTGTGGAAAGGGATAAATCCTGGGAGTGAAACTTTCAGGACAACTTCAGCAAGATCTATTCATATCTTCCACACCTGGACCTGTTTCCTCAGTACAGAAATTCCAAGGGCAGTTCTGCACCAATTGTGATGGTTTCAACTTTTATATAGTTAAACAGAAGTTACAGAAAAACTACAATATGTTTTTGAAGGAAAGGAATAGAGGAAAGGTCAAAACTCTGGTGTGGAGTGGGCCCAGCAGCCAGGGCAACTACCAGAATTCTTCAGGCCTTGAGAGCTTAGATGGTCATGTACCACCAACCCCTGCCCCCGCCGAGTCACTGACAAGTGGTATTTTATGATGAACCCCTTGGCCCATAGCATGGTTCCCAAATAAGGAGGGAGGGAGGGAGGGAGGAGAGGAGAGGGGAAGGGAAGAAGGAAAGAACCAGTATGATTATCGTTACTCTTGGGTGCAAGGGAGACTTGGGGATCAACACATAGTAGAAAAGATAAAGGTGGAAAAGACCTCTGGGCAGTTCCCAGGGAAACAACAGAGTACAGATGTCAGCTTTTGAAAAGTTGTGAGCGGTGGGCAGCCACATGGGCAGGAAGAGCAGCCTATAGGAGACTTGGGTGTTTTGTTGTTGTTTAATTTTGATCTTTAACTTAGAAGTCATATTTTGGTCCTCTATATATTGATATAAATAGAAGAAAAACTTGAGATCTCTGGTCCTGGTCTGTCATTTAACAAAAGAGTGAGAATTAGACTTGCATGGTGATTTACACATACAGTAAAATGGTGCCTGGCCTTTTGTTGTCAAATCAATGATTTTGATTCTTGAAAGGTCTGGTCTTCCTCTAACAAATTAATAATCTGAACCCAGGGCTGGGCATGGTGGTGCATGCCTTTAATCCCAGCACTGAGGGGGTAGAGGCAGCCTGGTCTACATAGGGAGTGCCAGGTCAGTCAGTGATATATAGTGAAACCCTGTTACAACAAACAAACAAGAACTAAGCATTTTCAAGCACCTGTGCATGTTAAGATGATGGCAAGAATGTGACAGGCTACAGTTTTAATTCTCTGATTAATGCAGAAGGAGAAGTTCCACTATCACAGGTACAAGGAAGAGGAAGCTGAACTTGTGGCAAGGTAAAGACTTGCCCAGGGTCACACTGGGTGTCAGGGAGTGGGTGGGCTTTCAGGCAAATACAGAAATCCATTTATCTTAGAGCCAGGCCTGAAAAAAAAAAAAAAGCATTGAATGTGAATACTAATAGCAGTTTCCAAGGAGTCAGAAATGATCTTTTGAAACAGATTTTTTTAAAACGAAAATAAACCCTGCTCCCCATTTATGTTAATTCTAAGGAAAAAAATAAAAAATCCTAACAATGTTAAAAATAGATTTCATTTATGAGTGAGTGCCTCATGCAAATTTTGTTAAGCTTATATAAAATACAAATAAAACATGGAATATCCAACACTGTTAGTCTCATGCTGTATCTCTAAAATTCCCAATTTTATAGTGTTTTCCACTTTAAACATGCATGTTGGTTCTCAAAATCTGGGGGGAATTTTAATAAAATTGAAAGAATAAAATAGAATCACCCACATTTTCACTACCCAGTGATACTTTATTTTAGTGCCTGCTTTTAGTCACTACAAAATTTCTCAGAGCAGTGTAGGATTACAGAAAACTAAGTAGAAATCACAGAGCTCTGATACGCTCCCCATCACACTCACAGTTTCTTGTCCTGTTGGTTTCCTATGTTACTGTATTACATTCATTAACTGATGAGCAATACTCACACAGTGTGAAGGACTAACAACTACAGCTTGTACAGGGTCCACGCTGGTGCAGAGGCAATGGGTTTTGACCACTGCATAACGGCATATACTCACCATTACACAATAACGTTTTCAGTTTTTAAAAAGTATAGACAAAATTGATTTAGTGCTGGAGAGATGGTCTGGCTTGGCAGTTAAGAGCACCTCCTGCTCTTCCAGAGGACCAGAACTGGGTTCTCAGCACCCATGTCAGCAGCTCACAACCACCAGTGACTCCAGCTCTTCAGCCTCTGTGGGCATGCACATCTGTGCCATACACTCACATAGACACACACACACACACACACACACACACACACACATAAATAAAAATAAATA